GTGGCATTGTGATGCTATTTTATTTAAATGGATGTGTTGGGCGGCACGCTGGTTAGCACTGGTTAGCACGTCTGCCTGATAGTGCAGAAGTGCAGGGTTCGATTCCGGCGCCGGCCTTCCTGTGTAGAGTTTTCTCTTGGTACTCCGGTTTCCTCCCACATTCCATAACGTGCACAGTAGGTTAATTGACCACTGTAAATTGTTCCAAAATGTGAGTGTGAGCGCGAATGGTAGTTCGTCTCTGTGATCCCTGCGATTGGCTGGCAACCGGTTCAGGGTGTCCCCGTCTTACTGCCCAAACACAGCTGGGATAGGCTTCAAGCACGCCTTGTGAGGATAAGCGTTTCAGATAGTTGATACATCGATGTGTGTTTACTTCTTACATACTATACTTGGTTTGTAAAATAAATACGTTGTTGAATTCACTAATTCAAATCAGAGGGTCTTCCGTGTCTGAAATGGAAGTATTCTTGAGTCTGTCAGGTAATAATAGGTTTTGGCGAAAGGACAATGTTGCTTTCGTCAATACTATCAGGGACTTCCACAATATTGACAGGGTTAAGTACTAAAAATAGACAAATTTGACTAAAACGTATCTAAAACAATCGTGGACAATTTTGACTATAATTTTTGACTAGAATAAGAATACAATTAAAAGGCTCAGACTTTTAGTTGAGTAAAATTTGACTTTGCTAAAAAGAGTATGACATTGATTAAAAGTAATAAAACTTAAAATGACAGCTTGACACAAAGAGTAGACTAAAATTTAAACAGGCCACCAAAAACAGCACTAGTTGACGTTGCCTTGGCCACCGATGGCGCCTGCCAGATTCAACAACCAACCTGGCTTTTTGCTTGTTTGTCCCCATAGGTGAAGATCTGGTTTCAGAACCGGAGGATGAAATGGAGGAACTCAAAAGAAAGGGAGCTCCTGTCGACAGGGGGTTGCCGTCAGCAGACCCTTCCCACCAAAACCAACCCTCACCCAGACCTCACAGATGTGGGCAGCACCTACTGCCACAGTGGGCTGGAGAGGACTGCGGCTACTAGTCAGGCACAGTTGGAGAGCCAGGAGTCACATCTGCCCCATCGTCATCATCATCACCGTCATCATCATCACCACCATCGCTCCTCTCCGTCAGAGTCCAGTAAACAATCAGAGTCAGAGAGTGAAGAAATCACGGTTTCATAAGAACATGATTGAAAAAGATGCATTCTTTGCACTACAGTTGCCTTTGAGTGTCAGTTTGACGGGATGATGAAAGGTGAAAACCACAAGTACTTTTTTTGGTGGTTTTGTGAATTGCCTGCATTCGATCAGCGTCTAATCTCTATTTCTGTACAGTGTTTTGTATATGACTTTTTATATTTAGTTCAATATTTTGTGTATACATTGTAAAATATTTACTGAGCAACTTTAGATTGACTATGTGTATTAGACTCTATTTTTTAACTCCTAAAGATACAGTACAATTCTTTCAGCAGACTATATTTGTTATCTTTATTTTCGTAAATAAATCTTTAAAAACTCCAATAATGTCATGGATTACTTTACCTCAACAATTTTTAATCCAAACACTAAATTTTCCTGTCATTTTCCTCATGATATGGAGTGTTATTGTTCCTCTTTTGTGTGTGTCGGGCCGTCTGGAACAGATGAATGCATTTCCATTCATTTCAGTGGGGAAAGATGGTTTGAAATCCGAGTATTTTGATTTACGGGTGTGGTCATGGGACAAATTTGACACGTTTCAAAAGCACCACTGTGTTGGAGGAGTTAAGCGAGAACGGGCAGTTGCCAATAGTCTCCTATGCAATAGTGCAGTAATTTTACCAATAGATAGCGCTATTGCTCTCTCATTTCTACTTGTCGTGAGGGATGCACAATTTGAGGCAAGGCTGGCTGAAAAATGAAATAAATTAACACAGTAATTAAATACGTCCTGAAGTATTGAATCATGTCCATATTTATTTACATCAAAGGTATTGGTTTTAATATTTATTTGGATTTGCATTTAATTATGTTGATGTTTACGTGTTTCACTATTTCTATTACTATTTCATTTTATTGCCCTTGTCCTCTGTACATCATGAAAACATGCAAGCTGTCATTTTCGAGCTTGCTTGGGCCCAAGAGAACTCCATCCATCCATCCATCCAGTTTCTGATCTGCCCTTGTCCTCTGTACATCATGAAAACATGCAAGCTGTCATTTTCGAGCTTGCTTGGGCCCAAGAGAACTCCATCCATCCATCCATCCAGTTTCTGATCTACTTAATCCTCACAAGGGTCGCGGGGCGTGCTGGAGCCTATCCCAGCCATCTTCGGGCAGTAGGCGGGGGACACCCTGAACCAGTTGCCAGCCAATCGCAGGGTACACACAGACAAACAACCATCCACGCTCACACCCACATCTCAGGACAATTTAGAACAGGGGTGGCAAACTCATTTCACATTGTGGGCCACATACGGCCTCGGTAGATGTCAAGTGGGCCGGACCATTAAAAATTCTACCATACTCTGCTATAAATAACCAAAATAATATGTCTTCACTTTCTTTTGATCTAAAGAAGCACAAAAACATTAGGAAAATGTTGAAATTTAATGAACATATCTTTTACAAAAGATTTCATGAAGCACCTTAGATTTCCTTAGACAAATGTGCAATTTACTTTTATCATTCACATATATGCATTGCAACTGATCCCACTAATTGTACAAAGGCACAAAACTTTAACAAGTAATTGGTATTGAAAAATGTAGTAATGCATTTTAAGATTAAACGAGATTTATTAAGAGAGCAATTTTTAAACCATTTACACATGTGCATATAAAATCAAAATTTAATCCCTGCCTACACCTTACAAACTAAAGAGAGCACTATTAAATGTGTAAAGACTAAAGTATTCACATGTCCTTGTTAGCGTCTGCTGTGTTGGGTCTGTCTCAGTGACAGAGACTGCGGTTGTCTCCTTCTCTGATCAAAACAATTTTATCTTCTACTCTGATCAAAACAGTGCGTCCCCTAGCGGTAAGTTCACGAATTGCACCTTATTAAAAATATTCATTCCGAGTCTTTTATGCATTTTTTCACTTAAAAATGATACTGCGGGCCTGATCGAAATCCTTGGGGGCTGGTTCCCCTGATTTAGAGTGTTCAATCAGCCTGCCGTGCATGTTTTTGGAATGTGGGAGGAAACA